TGTCCATATTATCAGCCAGACTTGCAACTAATGTGTATAAATATACTGTATCGCTAAAAATAGTATAGATTTTCGAGAAAAGTCAGTTCTAGTCAACTTGTGTTTGGAGTTACGTCAAGAGTTGACGGTAAATATATCAAAGTCTGTCTCGTGCAAATGCATTTTGTCATATCGTGAGGACACTTGACCAGTTGGAGTTTTCATCAATTGAACTGCTTTGTCTTTTCCGCCACTGCGCTACCTTCCTCCCGATGACATGTTTCGCTCCACATGAGATAACTGCCTGGCCTCATCTGCCATCATCATCATCTTCCTCATCCTCACTCCACTGTGAGCTGTAAGCAGCCAGTGTGTTAGCAATGAGAGCTTGCGTTTGCCACATAACGGGGGCTCCTGCTGCCCGATGTCGCAATCTGCTGGAGATCACTGAGCGTATGCGGCCAGAGTACCAGATGGATGAAAGAAAGATGAACGCAGGCCTCTGCGACGATTGCCGTGTTTCTAATTTTCAACAGAAAGGGTGCAGATATGAACTCCGACACCTTTCTGTGGTTTGTTACGGATGCTTTCTCATGAATGTCATGCATATATTCAAACATACTAAAAAAACGGAGGTTTGTTTTCCTCACCTACTCACTGGGTAGCTGTGGATTTTGTGCAGATTGGTTATTTCTTTCTCAGGGTGGAGTCATTATTTTGACCTGGCAGATTGGATTGAAGGTGTCATGATTTTGTGTGTCTCCAGCAGGTGGCAGAGGAGGGCTTTCCCTCCAGCTTCCACACCTGCTGCCAATTATGGATCAATTTAAGACATGTAGTGAAGGACTTCCTAAGCGCCAACTCCGTCGGATTATTGACCTTGTTTGGTGTTCATGCTCAAGTGTTATTTTCCAGACCTCTCGATCTCGTCATTGTCGTTTTTGCTCTCTCGTCTCTCGCCTTGTAAGTATTTATCTTATTTAGTCTTTGATCTTGGTCTTGTTTTTTTGTTTCGTGAAATTGGACTCGAGTCATTTTGTTTATATTCTGGGATTAACTCTTTCGTTGCCTTTGCGAGCGCTTTTTGTTTTCGTGTATTGTGTTTCCTGGTTCTTTTTGACCAGCAATTTTAGTTCATACCTTGTCGGTGCGCTTTTGTGATTAAATATTTTTTGTACGGATTTTGTTTGTGTCTTCATTTAGGGGATCCGACTATTCAGTTCTTTCCCGAACAGTGTCAGAAAATTGGATGTGGGTAGGCAAAAGAAGTTGCTGTTAATATAAGAATATTCTATAGTGGCCGTTGGTGGCTTCAATGCGGAAAAGTGGTTTGCTGTTTGCTTTGGGGTGTGTTTCCAAATGAATAGATTTAAAAAGTAACTTAAAAGCAAAAGTGTCCAAAATGCCCCAGCATGCATCATGTGAGGCTACTGTATGTGTGAAATCTCCAGGGTGGCGTATGTACACAGCACACGGCCTTCCTCCCTTCTCTTCGAAGACTTTAGCCGGCCACTGTTGGCACGGCACGGATGCTCCCAACGGCCTCGTCAATTGCGCTCAGGTGCAAAGGGGAGCCAAAGTAAAAAAGGAATTAAAGTGACGTGGGGCTGTGTGTGCCAGAAAGTGCCCAGCATGCTCGCTGCCTGCTGCGAACAGATGCAGCGACAACTCCTCCAAGTATTGTGTGCCATTAAGTCTGATGCCGCACGTCGGACCTCTGGGGGTCCTTTCTTTTATATACTAATTATTCACACAGTACTGGTCTTGAAACCACACTACTTTTTGGACACTTGGAGCTGGGGGAGGGAGGGGAGCAGTGACCTTCTAGTACAGTTCTGGAGTTCTAGCTCACTAGACTTCATTTCAGCAACCATCCAAGGATTAAATCAGCCTGTTTTACTTTGTTCTTTGGATCTCGATGTCACTTTTTACAAAGTGACCATGAAGTAAATGGACTCTCAGGCTAAGTGGTGACCCAAACATTTGTGATGGGTCTTGATGAGTCTTTCAGTGTCATGATGAGATTGCATGTTCTCCCCATGCGGGGCCAGCATGGGTTTTTCTCCGCCTACTCTTGCTTCCTCCCACATTCCAAAAAAAGAATGGCTGGAATATTAGACTGAGCCGCTGTGATTATAAAAGCAAAGCTTGGGACTTGTGCCACCCCTTCCTAAAGTCCTTATGCATTTCGTCTTCATCAAAGAAAATCACGGTGCCATTTGGGGACTCGTCAGGCTTTTCCAATCTGTCTCCCTCGGAACTGTTAAGTTAATTTCATTGCTCTATTCTCATGCATGTCCAATGACAATAAATTTGATTGCATTCCAAATTTCATTCCATTCAAATGTTGGCACTATAACGTGATACAGTACTGTATATGTCATATCAGTGGGCGGTCTCCGACCTTGTTGATGATTCCCCTTAGACTGAAGAGTGTTTCATCATCATCCAATTAGGAAGGTCAGCGCAATATTCACACAGAACGCAGGCCAGATGAGGTGGAACACGTCAATACAATATGCACAATGAAGATGATGACCTCACTGGTGGGCTTGCACTTGTTCTGCTGCCTCAGGAAGTACATCCTCTGTTTCCTGTTCCTCTTTGGAGCCCGGCCGGGGAGGGGATGTTCTCACTCTTCTGTTTAAAGGATCACAGCCAACTGCACTGCGTGCAAAGCTTTGAGATACCTTGTCTTTGCAGCTTATTCGAATACAATGGCAACATAAACAAGCAAGCAATTGGTTATGAAAACGCTACCTCCTTTTTGTTTTTTTGCTTGATGGAGGTGTATAAAAATTGCAGTTGTCTCAGAAATAGCAAAGAAAAAGAATTGAGGGGTCTCATGATTCACTCATAACAGCACGTTATAACAGATGCCACAACAAGTAGCATCTAAATAGTGTGTGTGTGTGTGTGTGTGTGTGTGTGTGTGTGTGTGTGTGTGTGTGTGTGTGTATATATATATATGTGT